CAGAAACTGTCTTTGTTCTGTATTAGACAAGGCCTGAGAATAGCTTTGGAAAGACCTCTTAAAACTGATCATGACTGAGATGAAAAGCCGTTAGGAGTTCGATAGTTTCTCAATATTGAAAATATTCTAAACTTCGATTAGAAATTCAAGGATATAATTTATTTTTACTTACATAATATCTTCCTAGTATTAAGAATCACTGGACTCCTTAGCGACTCTTCATGCTAGTTGTGATTAGTTTTAAACGCTCTTTGCAAAGCTTTTGTCTAATGCAAAACACAGGTCTCAAAATTGATTAGATTTAGTCCGAAAAAAAACTAAAAGAATGCAAGCATTGTGACCGATTCCAAAACTTTTATTTTGTGTTTCATGCATATTTTAACTATAGTTTTGGATAGAGTATAAAATTCATCATGTTTGATATAAATAAGTCACAGGAAGTACATTTTTAATAAGGAAAAAAATGTCATCTATAACATAATATTCTAGAAATTAGTATGTTCTTAATAATATTTTTTCTATTCGTCTCTTATTTTTTTTTCTTTCTTGGAAAAGTAGATTTCATGATAAAACAATAACAATTAATTCTGCTCACTCCAATGATGACGATGAAAATGTACGTGAATTGATTTTTCGTAATTATTTTCGTTTTGAACCAGAACAAGAACAGTTACTTGATGAATTACTTCGCAAAAGGTTTATCAATTCAGATAGATGTTTTGTTTCATTTTTACTAATCGTTTTCAATGATATTTTAGATATCAATATGCAAAATTATGTGGTTACCCATCATATAGTCATCGTTCATTAGATAATACATTATTAAATAAGCCAGAATATGTTAGTAATTATTTAGAACAAATAATGAATGCTATTCGACCATTAGCTGATAAAGATATACAATTAATGCAAATACTTAAAAATCGTCTTCAACCTCAATCAAATAATCAACCAGTTTATCCTTGGGATGTTGCAAGATTAGAAGCAATATTTAAATCGGAAATGTATACATACTGCTAGATGTTTATTAAGAAAACACGAGAGTTTTTTATTTTTATTTTATTTAGTTTAAAAATTAATACACAAGAATATACACCATATTTTTCACTTGGAGCTTGTATGGATGGACTTAATAGAATATTCAATAGTCTTTTCAAGTATGTTTAAATCCAAAAAACATTTTACTGATTTTCAATTGTTATAAACTATTAATATCTTATTATCAAACACTTCTAAACAATAGTTAGTCCTACATATATCCTATTGATCTCACTGATAATCCTTTCGATCTTTTTATCGCTAGTACATAGCCATTGAAATCTCTAATTAGAAAAAGCTTTACGACATTTTTCTTTGATCTCCAAATGCATCAACCATAAAATAGGTTGCCAGTGTCGGTGTGATCAAGAGAAAGTACCCCATTTCATCTCTAGTACATTTTCCTCAAGTTTTGAGATAAATTTATGATCAACTTTCTCTAATTTGTAAATATTTAGGTTATACCTTGCTCTTATTTTGAATTAACTGTAATAGTTTTATTTTTCGCTAAACTACGGTACCTTGTTGACTACTTTCTTTTATGTCGGAGGATTTAGCTTATATTCTTCTACTTTATCAAGACTTTATGCAATGAGACTATTTTATTTATGTAATAACAATTAAAACTATCGAAAATTGTCATTATTTTCTATGAGAAATTAAAATGGTTTCAAATTATCTAGAGTTTTTCAGGCAACATAATTTAAAGTCGTTCATTCAAATTTCTCAAATAATCGTGCTAGCTTTCTAAACTTTGTCAATAATACATGAACTATTAAAAATTTTGAAAATATTATCAAACAGATAGAATGAAGTTCATGACTAATTTAATGACTTATATTTCCAAATTAAAGATACAAAATCTGTGTTGTCTTGATAGGTCAAAATAAATTTGTCGGTTTTTCAAAAACTGAGTACCAACTTTAATTTCTAATGAAATCCGATGGTGATTGATAGTTGCTGTGAGAATGGTCACTTTTGATAACAAAAAAGGTTGAGAAAGTTTCCTGACGTAAGCGCTAAATACGTTTCTGCTGAAAAAATTTGCAATATATATGTTAGAGTTTTGTAGGATCCTACACTAATGCTTGCTACGCAGTGAAGGATTGGGATTTTTGTGTAAATTTGAGAACTTGTCTTAAATTTTGATTTTTATATAGAAATTACAGTCGAAAGCGACAAAATTTTTGCATATTTCTCAATTTTCTAGTATAACGTTAAATAAACAAGCAACAGCACCAGGAGAAATCTGGCATCCATCTGTTATAAAACTTTCAGTTGATCATGTGATCGAAGGAACAGTTGGATATATTTATTGTGATTTATTTGAACGGTATGATTTATTTTTATTTTTGTTTTGAAATCTATTATTGTTAATTGTATTCTATTTTAAGGAAAGATAAAGTTCCACATGATTGTCATTTCACAATTCAATGTAGTCGACGTCTTAATAATGGTACATGTCAATTACCTATTGTTGTTCTTCATGTTAATATTCCGCCAAGTGTTGATCCTAATGTTCCAACACTTCTAACATTAGGTATAAATATTAATAAATATTAAAATACTTTTTGAATTATTGTTTGTTTTGAAGGATCGGTAGAAAATTTATTTCATGAATTTGGTCATGCAATGCATTCAACATTAGCTCGAACACGTTATCAACATGCATCTGGTACTCGATGTCAAACTGATATTGCTGAAATTCCGTCACAATGGATGGAATATTTTGTTTATGAACCACGAGTCGTTAAATTATTTGCGCGACATTATCAAACTGGTCAAGTTATACCCGATGAACTTCTTCAACGTCTTCATTTAGCTCAAAGTTGTTTTCAAGCACATCGTACACAAGTTCAAGTATACAATTTTTAAATATATTTTTCTTAAAAGTTTTTTTTCGGATTTCGTATAGGTAGCATGTGCAATGTTTGATCATGCATTCCATGGTCCTTATCCATTATCAATGTCTTATGATAAAATATATTCATCATTATTAACAAAATATACGTCATTACCTTATATTTCCTCAACATATCCTTATTTAAAATTTTATCATTTAGTTGATTATGGCGCTCGTTTTTCTAGTTATATTATTGCACGTTCAATAGCAAGTAAAATATGGAATGATCAATTTTTAAAAGATCCTCTATCGAAAACAACTGGTGAACATTTTAGAAAAAATTTTTTATCATGGGGTGGTGAACGTGAACCAAATGAATTAGTAGGAAATATGTTTTCACTAACAAAGAAGTTAACTATTGATCATATGACAAAAGCTATTACAGATGAAATCAAAGAAAATGTTCAAAAACGTGACAGTTTATTTAAATAATATGATTGTTTTTTTTGTAATTATTTGAAAGCAAAACTAAAATAAATAGATATATGTAATACAAAAAAATGAACTATGACATGTACTACATTGAATCTATAAGCATTTCAACAGGAATAAATAATTTGTAAATTTGATTCATTCTCAGGCAAGTGAAAAATATATATATGTTATGGTCGATGTTAGAATTCAGCCCAATTCAGAATTCGTCCAGACGAAATTAGAATTCTAATTTCGACTAGACGAAATTGGAATACTATTTTAATAAATCGCAGAACTTAAAGAAATACCAACAATTAGAACACGAGAGGGTTCCGCACGAGAGTGAGAGTGAGAGTGAGGAGGGAAGTCTTAGTAATGGTGAGGAGGGTCTGGGTGAGAGTGAGTCTGGATGAGAGTGAATATATGCGCGAGATACCGGTTTTGCGGGGTTTTTCACTTTCCATTCACCCTCACCCAGACCCCTCTTACCGTTATAGAGACTTCCCCCTCCCCCTCATCATCATTCATGACCCCCTTGTGATCTAATTGTTGGTATTTCTTTAAGTTCTGTGATTTATTAAAATAATATTCCAATTTCGTCTAGTCGAAATTAAAATTCTAATTTGGTCTGGACGAATTCTGAATTGGACTGAATTCTAACTTTGGCCATAACTTATATATGTCGGTGTGTAATATGAGATAAAACAGAATATTCACACTAAAAGTCAATATTTGAGCTTTTTGATTGATGAACTAGAAAGTATTTAACTTTTCTTTCAATATAAAGTTATTATTATTATTATTATTATTATTATTACATAAATCGCAGTGTCCTGACAAACAACGTGGGAGTGTCTTTCATTAGACAACTCTTTCTCCAAAATCCTGACACAGATGTTGGGATCCTGACATAAGATGCGATCCTGATAAATCCTATGAGCCTGAAAGACACTGCGGTCCATATTATTATTAATCAATCGTAGTTTACTAATGAACGATGATAAATTTGACATTAGCTTGTGATCTATTCAATGTTGACTTGTGCCTATTCGTGATTGAACACCAACAATTGAATACATTTGTATGGTAAATAACTCAACGAAGTAGTTATTGTCTGAAGAAAAATGTCAACCTCATTTAATATCAATTAGAGAAAAGTATAAATGTGACTAATTTCATACGGATGAAAAGAACTTCTCCGTATGAATTTGATGAATTATTATTCTTTAATAAACGATAGAGCAACAAAAACTGTGTTTGTATTTTTTAACAGCATTGTTGCTTTTTTGAAATGCTTTACAGATTATTCTGCACAAATTTTAAAAAAAACGAAAAGATAAAGCTTGTATCTTTGTCATAAAAGTGACTGCAAAAATAATCTCCTATATCTCATTTATTGCAAAATTGTATTGTTTAATTGGCAAACCTTTAATTTCTAAAACAAGCAATACAAAGTTCGTTTATAAACTATAGTCTACAATGCATATTTCAATGAATCTTTTGCTTCAGATTTATTTGTAAAAAGCAAAGTAAAGAAATGTTTTAACTCAATCAAACAATCTTGTTTGATTTATTTAAATAAACTAAAAAAAGAAAAGAAAAAAAACCAAGAAAAGTTCAAACAATATATTTGATTTTTTTACAATTAACTTATGGTTTGATTAGTTGTTCCAGTTCGATAAAGAATATTTTTCCATAAAATATCAAATAGAAAACCAATTATTTGTGACGAAATAAGTATTGAAATAAATATAATTAAACGTACTGTAGTTTCATTATGTAATGAAAATGTTTCAAGATAAAGACGATGTAGAAATATTGAAATGTTTTCCAGTGATATCAATGCATTAATTGATATATCATTAATTGAACTATGTGTTAAAAAAGAAAAAATTAATTTAATAAAAATTTTCTTTTGATTATCTTTAAATGTTGATCGATCGAATAGAAGAGAAATCATTAATGAAAAATGAACAATACAAAATGTTATTGCAAACCACCATGCATTAAGATGAAATAAAAAGATAAATGTATAAATACGTGTAATAATTAAACAGAATCGTGATAGAATAGATATAATAATTATGAATGATGTACGTTCAAGAATAAGAAATGTTGATAAAAAACAATAGTTTATTATTAAATGATAAAAAATACTGATAATAATAAAAGCATATGACGAAGGAACATGAATACTAATTGGAATTTGTTGATAAAATATGGGTCGAGTCCAATTTAATGACATTGTTCGTCGAACAATATATTTTCGATCATTATCAAATTTTGGCCAATATCTAAATTAAAAACAAATATTCATGGTTTATCTCCAAAATCGATAAAACTCATCTACAACATGCTATATATAAATTTGGATTATTTTACTCTAAGAAAATTAATATCAATTTTAGGTTTACATAAATTCTGACTAAAATAACTAGAATAAAGCAAAACTAACTTTAATTTCCTATTATTTTGAACATATCATTCAAAGTAAAAGTTCAACCATATTTTCTTTACATCTTTCAATCTATAGGTCAATAAACGTATTCTTATAATTCCGGTTTAAAAATATACAGAGTTATATTACCCTAACTATCGTGCAGAATTGGACAGAGTATGCATTAAAAATTGTTCTCAATCAAAATACAGAGCATGAAACAGTTTACTCTGTACATCTCTACTGTGATGTTATTTGAGTTATTTATCACTTTTACATTCTTTTGATGAGGCAGTATCAAAGGAGAGTGAGATAAAAACTTCGTAGAATAAGTTAAGGTTACCTAGTCAGACAAGAGCTCATTTTAATGCTTAAGAATGTACGTTTTGTACGCTGAAAAAACGATTTTTTTTTTTTGTAAAAAGCAAATTTATAGGCATCATCATTGTCAAGCCCATTTTTCTGATAAACATAAAAAGGATATGTGTTTGAAAATTTTTCTTCGTTAGGGTACGAAAAAGTCTACATTGTACGTCTCTATTTGGATTCACCTCATTTGTTTGTTTTTTTTTGAATAATAACTCTGATTAATACTTTTATGTTATAATCATGTTGAACTTTATATTAACATATACTCAATAATGATTATGTAATATGCATGACAATAGAAAGTTTCTTTTATTTCTACTTACGTTAATGAAGATCGAACAGGCATCATATTCATTGATGCCGGTAGTAATAAATCTTTATCTGTTGCCCATTGTGGAATAAAATAATCCATATTTAACATTGATTTTGTTGATGGTTGAAAATTATTTGACCAAAAATAAAGATTAATAAAAACAACAAGACTTGAATGAATCAGATAAAATAATGTTAAATAATGAAATAATCGTCGTTTCATTGTTTTATATGATTGATTTACATGCTGATTATGAATAAGACATGAATTTGTTGTTTGTGATAGATTTGTTTCTAGTGTTGTTGTTGTTGACGATGATGGTGTTGATGATGAATTAAATATTTGAGTATTATCAATAAAGTTTTTATTAAATGTAATTATCAGTAATTCAACAAGTCGATAAAGTATATAAAGACGTAATAGAAATGGTATTAATAATATACGTGTTGAAAGATTTTTAATATCAATTAAATTGTTTATCCATAGAATAATATCACAAGTTAAAAGAATAAATGTAAAAATTATAAAATAGATATAATTTGTATGATAATATATATAAAGAAGAACAATATCCAATGTATGTGTTAAAAGATATGATATAATAAGAATAATAAGAAATAATATTGAAAATTTTGAATGTAATTTATTTGCTTGATTTTTATTTTGTTGCATATGTGGAGATATTGTTAATGATTTTGTTGATTTTGGTGTTGTATATATAGTTGAAAATGAATAACTTTTTGTTAAACAAATACGTGGTTTAAAATTTTTTTGACAACGTTCAGATTGTGTACGAACTATTTGATTTAATGTAGGTTTTAATGATAATGATGAATGAATTATATTTTCATTAGCAAATGGAATATTATCACATAATGTTTCATTATCAATAGATAGATTTTCAAGTGTATTTGTACTTTCATTTGAATCTGTACCAAATGTTGTCCAACTATGACGATTATCAGATGTTGCTGTTGCTGCTGTTGTTGTTGATGGTAATATATAAAAATTCATACCATGAGATGAAAATCTTTGATAACGAGTTTTAACATTATTTGCTGTTGTATTATTAGATTCAATAATTGATTGTTTTTCTTGTTGTTGTTCGATTGAACGAAAGTCAAGATTAGCAAGACTTGTATGTTTGCATACAAGTAAATGGCATTTTGGACAAGCACTTAAACTAAATGAATAGTGTAATACATCCATTAGATCTACAATGACACTATTTTATATTGGTTTAAATGAATAAATGAAAACTATATATATATATATATACATATTCAAAATCATACTTTTAGGTTAATCCTTCCAGTCATATCGATATCTGTTGTTGAAAATGTTCGTTAAAAGAAAAGAAACGAAAGAAGAGAACGAGACTACTTATACGATTTATGCTAATTTTTGTCTATAATATCCGTTGATGACATTGATGCATATATTCTCTCGTTAAATCAAGAGCGTGCAAACATAACAATGCAACACAAACAATAAGTTGCTCTACTTGCATCCGATTAAAGTGTGTCTCTCTTTCTTACTTTTACTTTTATATTGAACATAGACAAAGTTCACAATTGAGGATAGTAGTAAGTGACATGACCTGTCTTTTCATAGTGTGATATGACAATAATCGACTGGCTCAATCAATAGCGCGAGCGCATCTATAAGAATTAGCTGTACGAAAGATTTATATTTATTAGTGTGTGTACAATGAATACTATACTATTCATATTTCAACAATGAAAGAGAAGAGAGAGAGAGAGAAAAAACGATAAGTTGGTCGATGCTTCATGCCGTCTGCTTTTCTCCGTTATCAATTTCAAATTAAACTAGAGTGTATAGTTTATATGTTCAAAGGATGGACATACAGAATGTATGCTCACTTGCTGCTTTTGTTGTTCTCCATTGAGTTACTTTTTATTCTCGATATATATATTTCGTCATGTTGCTATATTGACTAATGATTTGATGATGATGATGATGTTGAGTGTAGGTGGTAATACTAGTGATCGACTCGGTCAATTAGACGTGAACAAATAGACGGGGGATGAATTTGTTTTTGATTGTGCGATACCAATCGATGGTCAAACTATATATCCTATTGAAAAGAACTTTTCTCTTTCGAGAAGCTTAACACTTAAAAATGATGTGCAAAGCTATAACCTTGTGTGAATATAATATATGTTTACTAATTGAACGTGTAATGTGTGATGATTTCATTTTCTTTTTTTTTCTTCTTCTCATGCGAAGAAATATGAGAAAGGAATCGAATCGTCTCAATGTCACCACCTTACCATTTTCCTTTCTCAATCTCATCTCATCTCATCTTTATTTTATTCAATTCATTTCAAATGATTTGATGAGAAGCTTTAGCAACGACGCAATAGAACACGTTGAAATACTATTCAATCATGCACGGGATTGTGATCGAGCAGAAAGTAATAACAGGTGGAATAGCAGTAACTAAATAACGATGGATACCTATAGACAATTTGCTATTGTCGACGACCTTTGAGTGCTGACACATAAAAGAAAAAAAAAGAAAATGAGAGACAGACAGACAAAAAGCATTTTCTTCTTTACAATGATAGACATATTAGTACTGTTGTTCCGATTACGGCTGTTTTTCGTCATTTCATCATGAACATTATAACACAAAGCCTGATGGCTATATAACCATCTTGACCGAAATCATATCCGGTTGACTGACTAATCATTATAATGATTCTATAGTTTGCTCTTATGTTATATTTACTTATCGTCTGCTGTATTTTGTTTTCTTTCTATTATCTAATTTGCATCCGAAATCAATGTTTCTTAATGATCTTTTTCTTTTCTATTGAAAGAAATAAAAACTAGGTTTATTGAATTGTCTTCTTTTGGATTACGTATTGAAATATGTACAATTATCAGACAAGTGTTTTGTGCATCTAATATAAAAATCACCAGTGTGTTCATATTGCGAAAAAAAGAACAAACTTAATCGATTACGATCAACTAACACAACATTGAATGTCACAATTTACAAATATTTGTGAACATTGAAGAGAGTCAATATTGTAATCGACTTCAATAGTCATATATATAAGCTATCATTATTTATTATCAATACAATGATAAGAATGGTTGATTTTTAAATAAGTACATTGACAGATAGTTCCGATTTTTATCATTACAAAGTAAAGATATGTATATATAAAGATGTCAATTCATATAAAAGAAAAATGAATGGTGTTCATTTAATGTTCAATCGATCAATCAAGGAAAAAAGAAAATGAAGCGATACTAATGGAGAGAGAGTATGACTTTTTATCGTTATATTTAAGTAATTAATCGTGTGAATTAGATAGTTTTCACATTCTTATGGCATATACATGTTTTGACATATGTCTAAAAGAAAAAGATATCTGATTTTTAGATTGAGGGTGAAAGTTTTATTTTGTTTATTTTTCATCATACCAATGTATATATATATTTGAACATTCAATGCTCACCCTATTTAATATGCATTTTGAACTAGACGAATTTATAATGTTTATTTAAGAACAAACATCTACCATAATGCATCATTCAACGAAGGTTTCATTTTAATTTGAAGAAGTTGCTGTCAAAATTTGACATTTTGATTTTCAAAGCTCATTGCCTGAACTTAAACTAACATCTATTGACATTGTTGAAATTTTTCGTTCATCATCTCCATATGGCCATGTTTCATTTATACAAAAGAATGCACAAAAAAAAGTACATCAACAACTTTATACATGTGTCTCGGTAGACACTATTTCTTGAAGGATATATCAATAGATACTCTTAGTTTTAGTATCTGCAAGTTACTAATGTCCGCAGTAGAATTACAGAGCGTCGGATATAAACGCAGTCACACGACAAAGACAATAGCTAGTAACCTGTGGTTTTTAACAATCGAAAGAGAAGAACTTCAGACGCTTTTTTTGTTGGATACTATATAAGACAAAGTTATTTTAGAACCTATCATCTTCGTAAAACATCGAAAAAAAGAAAGACAACAGTAATTCATTGCTAGGAATCATAAAATTTGCAAAAACCAACAAAATTCAATATAATTTGATTGAATATATATATGAGTTTGTTTACTGATTATCAAGATATGCGAAAGATAATTACTTGAATCGTCTCGTAAACTATAAATCCGGAGTCGATCTATGTGAGACATATGTCAAAATTAAAATTACACTGGTATGAATACGCCATTTTCATACCTTTTTTCAATATTTTCCAGCGATGATGCATTTTGAAAATAAGTTTATCTTATACAGTATCAGGCAAAAAGATGATTGAAGTTCTTCTCTTTCGATTGCTGAAAACCACAGGTCACTAGCTATTGAGCTTACATTCATCTTTCTTTGATTTTGGCGCGAACATTAGAAACTCTTTTAATGACTATAATTGATTGTACGCAATTTATGATTATGAGAATAATTCAGCTGTATCCATCATAATAGAAAACTGAAGAGGATAATCATATAATGATAAATAATGCAAAAGCTCACGTTCAATTAATTCTGATTCTATCGTCATTTATAATAACGTTTAATATTAATAGATATATATATAGTGAGAGAAGATCTGCCTCTGAAACTTCTATTGCTTGGTTTCATTATAATTCAATTCTAATTCTCTTGGTATGAAATAGAGAAAAAAACTCTGTTTTTATACATAATTTGCAAATTTTGTCAAGCATATGATGACATTAAGAGGCTTATTTTCTTAAAATCTTATAAGGAATAAAAATTCAAGTGTATTGTATAAATAATGAATTTGTTATTCGTATTCATCATTCATGTTTTTGTATTTTTTGTTATATATAATAAAGAGAACCGAACAAGAAAAACGAAACGAAACATTAATTACAAAGACTGATTAATAATTAGACAGTAATTGAAACATTATGAATAAAACTAGATGATTTTGTTGCTGTTGTATTACTTATATTATTATTCGTTGTTGAAATAACAACTGGTATAGAATCATCTCCATGCATTATATCGCACGTTGAATTATTCATTTGAATATGAATAAATGCGGTTGCGCTATCATCAGTTGTTGTTGATGATGATGATGATGAACTTGTTGTACCTGATGATGAACAAGATAATGATGGTCGGTATTGAATTAATATTGAAGATGTGGATGGTACTAATGAATCATTTTCAATTTGATTAAGACTTAAATCAGAAAAATGTCTTTCAATTGTAGATTTTAATGGTGTATTAGCTTGTGGTAACGATGGTTCAGCAAGAACAACATGTCGTAATTGTTGTTCCCTTTTAGTTGTTGTTTTAAATGGATCAGGTGATGATGATGATATTGGTTTTAACGATTTTTTTAAAACAGGTGGTATATGATGTGGTAAAGAACGTCGAGAAAATGGTGTTCGACGTATATATGGTGATGAAACAGTACTACTAACACCTCCTATACTAGGACATTTTGAAGATGGAGATGAAAAATTTCTTGCTTCATCATAACTATTATATGGACGACGTAAATTACTTATTGAAGATGACGTTGATGATACTTCTTGTTGATTATTGAATAAACGAATATTTGAATGTAATGGTTGATGTTGATTACTAAACATAAATAAATATATATATATATATATATGAAAAGAATCAGTACAGATTTAATCATAACTAATTAAGAAATAAATATTATCATTGAAGATTTACTCAAATTCTGTCTAATGAGGGAACCACTCGAGGAGGTACCTCGCGTTTGAGATTAGACGCCAGTCATTACGTATGGCCTACTGAGACTAGAGAAAAATCTACAAGGATTCTTTCACATGCACTGCCTTTTTTTAGTTATACCCGATACACTACATTTTTATCTTTGCCATAGCATTTACAAAAAAAAAAAACTTGAACAAACGAAATTTTAACCTATAATTGTTTGCATAGACAGATTTTAAAGTCATTTAGAATCTCCTTAAGTATCAGCCAAAAAGAGTCATCTCTTCTCAGAGTATTACATTCACATAAAACCATGATACTCTAACATCTATTTTTTTTTTGTAGATTTGGTATCTCAAGAAGAGACAACTTTTTTGGCTAAAATTTTTTTGAAGACTAGAGCGACTTCAAGAGCTGTCTATGAGCAAAATTTTCAGTCAAGATTCGTTCGCCGAGTTTTCTTTTTATAAAAAGTGTGTCAACAATTAAAAAAATCCAGTATAACCACCATAACTGAAAAAAAAATGAGAGTGCATAGGGAAAAATCCATCTAGGTTCCTCGCAGTCTCAGCAGGCCGTACATAATGACTGAGATCTAATCTCAAACGCAAGATATCACCTTAGGTGGTCCCCTCGTAAGAGATTTTTCTATTAGAAGAAAAACAAAACAACATCTAGGAACTTAAGTATTTTTTACTGAAGCTACTTTTGAATTTTTCCCTGAATAGTAATTATTCTGTAAACCTTTCAAGTATTAATTAAAAAGAAGATTGATATTTAGATTATATAAAAGAGAAGTATATGTTTTCAAAAAGAAGAAGTATCATTGAGTTTTCCTATTCATTCACAACAGTTTAAAACAAAAGAGAATCGGTTAAAATTAATGAATTGAATGAAGAAAATTCTTTTTGATCTGGAAAAAAAATTAGTAGGTCAAAATAGAACATGAAATAAAATTGATGTCGTCTATTCCTTTTATCTAGCGAGAAAATATATTTAAGTGTGACCTCTAGATACGAGATGAGATCAAACCTATCTCATACAGAATTTTTTTCTTTGGTCACTATTATCGATAGTCTTAGATGACATTGATTTAGCTTTTTTTCAAAAAACCGAACGACATACAATGTAATTCTCATGTGAAACGCGAGTATGTTCATGAAGAATCAATTATCTTATAATTAACTACAAAATATCATGTGGTATTAGTATTAGTGCCTTTATTGTGTTATTCTCAACCTAATGCAAACTTATTTTTAGAAAGTTGATAATAAAAGAATTCTTTACACAATTTATTATTTTGTAGTTAACTCTGACATAGTTAACTTTTCATAAATCGAGTCATCTCACTGGAGAACTATATTATGTTATCCTTTGAATTTTTTATGGATTCGATCGATGGCAACTACGACTATCACTATTTTCGATCAACAAAAGAACTTTTTACAAGATATGCTAGATCTAATCTTGTTTCTAGGGAGCGCAGTTAATTATGTTCCCTGGTAAATCTCATTTCAAATAAGAAAATTCTATTACTTTTCCTGTAGTTGACTTTGGTGAATACTTTTTTTTACAAATTGTGTAAATGCACTGTTACTGGATATCGACAATTGATATTTCATTCGATTGGAACTATTCGATTTTAAAACAGCTGTATTATGATTATTTTTCATTGATTTTTTAATCGGCAGATCTTGTACAAGAAGAGCATGTTTTTTTATTGTATTTGAAGACGAACGTAATGAACGTATATTTGATAAACGTGCATAACGTTGTGTTGATATATCAAAACTATGATTATTCTTATTGTTATTATTATTATTATTATGTGATGATGATTCACAATCTGAGAAACCAGAATCACCACCACATGATGATGATGTAACATCTTGACGTTTTTTACATGATAATGGATTTTGGAATAAAAATGATTGTGAACCAAGTGTTGATGATAATGAAAACTTTTTATTTGTTGATGGTGTTAATATTGATGTATTTATTGATGGTGATTTTGTTTGACATGATTTTTTTGTTTGAAAATCATATGGTTTATAAAAATTTTCAATATCATTTGAATATTTTATTGATTGTCGTCGTAACATTGGTCGACAACACACATATGGTACAAAACCTTCTTCATTATCAGCTGTTTTAACAAATAACCATTCATTTAATATAAATTGAGCATTTACAGGAAAACCTATTTTCAATTTAAAAAAAGAAAAAGAATTGTTAATTAGAGAAGATTAATCTAATTTTCTAAATAAAACATAATTTACCTCTTTGAATTTCAATTTGTTTTTTTTGTAAACCTTTTACATCGGGATTAAATGAAACAACAACTAACATTGGTATATTAGCTGGTGAATTTGATGATGCACGACGTAGTTTTTCAGTTATACTTATATCATCTTCACCATCTGATTCATCTATATTTGCTTGACGACTTAATCGTCTTGGTTTATCTAAATAAACACATATGTTGTCTAGTATTCTTCTATTTATTGATATAGATAAAATAATATGACAATCAATGAAAAAATATTTACAAAAACAACAAAAGAGGATTTTACCCGATCGTATAAATTCATGTTGATCGATTGATTGTTGTTCATTAGTTTTAGTTAATGATTCAGGTAAATCATCATACAATGAATCACGCTTAGCCGTTGTACATAAACATGTTTCTAAACAAAATTAAAAAACAAAATGAGAATATGATAAATTATTTTTCTTCACAAAAAGAAATATTCTACATATAAAAATGTTTCTCACGTTTATTTGTTTCACCGGATGAACGAATACGAACTCGTTCAAAGAATCGTTTTAACAACATGATGATAAGATTTTTAATGTTCTTTATTAAAATAAATGCTGTAAATGACAGAGAAAAAGGGAAAGAACGTGATACGGCTTTACTGTTACACGTCGACCAGTATTTCTCTTCTTCTTCTTCTTCGTCTTCTTTTTTTACATCACATCGATGCACACGAACGCCAAGTAAGTGTACAGGGACATAAGTGAATACCGTATCGAAGATGTGTGTTTTACACCAATGCGCACGTCACCTTGAACGTTGATCCATCGAGAGAAGAAAGAATGTGACGATAAGTGAAAAGAAAGACAACGGGACAGAGAAAAAGAGAGAAAACAACTGCTATGATGTTGTCTGGTCGATTATCTAGAGAGAAAGTGTGAGAAACAAGAAAAATCATATGATTAACCCTAAAACAATAATCGGCATATACACAATTGGATAGAATAGATGAGCTGATAATCAAGTTTGTATGTAATCAGCAAGACCTAGACATACAACACTTTTTCTTGTCTACATGCTGAGAGTCTCGTTAGAACGACTTCTTTTTTTCCTTCTCATCATTATCAACATACAATTATACTCAAGAGAAAATCTATCACTAACTGATAGACATCTGTTCTAAGACATCATAACTATACAAAAAAAAACCTCGAAAAAAATTCTTTATTTCTTTCAATTAATTTCAGATTTTTTTTTTATTTATACCTATTAAATGAAATAAAACTTGTGTTTTTGATATCCATATTTGTTTCATAGGAAATATTTTGATAATGAAACGATTTCTATATGAAAATTATATTTCAATCAAGACGGCGGACTATTTTTCATTGAATCTTAATACGAATCAAATCGAGGTCAATCGAACAATGATGATCAATAGAGAGATGCAGCAGCAACAGTAGTAGCAGAACAAGAGAGAAAGAAATATATATTGTAGGTTGTTCTCTCTCATTCTCTTTTGGATTCATTCAGTTTCATTAAGAATACAAGAAGAAGAAGAAAAAAAAAAGGAGCTTTCCAATTTTTATAATAAGTAACTTAGAGAAAGAATAAATCTATATGAATACAAAGCATAAATTCATTGCTTTTCTAATTGACAAAACTTCACAGAACATCCGACTATTATTAAATAAAAAAAAAAAAAATCTAATTGAACAAAACCAAGGTCACGGAGCACCTGACTAATTGCTAGAAAAGCGCCAGATGAAAAAAAACCATGTTTAGGTACATAATATTCTTGACAATCTTTGATCACTACCGAATTTGATATCATTGTCTGATTATTTTTGACCTCGAAAACGATTAAATACGTGATTCAATTAACGATCAGATATACATATATACAACTGCTGTATGAGGTACAAACATGATTTGTTACTATTCTTTTACTCAGTAGCATTTGACTGATAGTATAGCACACACGAATACATTCATCATCTTACTCTACTTGATGAAGTACTTGCTATTGGCAAATACATGTATATATATATGTACTTCTACTATTACTAGTATAACTACTATCATCATCAGCAATTGTCGTTTAAAGCGGGCAATATAAACGTAGTAATAGGCGGACGACAACTAGTAGGATAGTTACGTCAGTCATTCGCTTGGATGGAGTAGTAAGAGAAAGTGTATATGTATGTCAAATGAAGGTCTAATTTCTGTCGTTTCGATGTTACATCGATGAAGAATGCAAGTACATATAAGTGTGTATGTGCTTCGATGATTATATATTGTTATATTGCGTGTGCATGTATATATATATATTTGTATACGCATCTATTTACAAGTGCTCATTTATTCAACATGACATAAAAAATTCATAATAATTTTGTTTTCATATTTCATTTAGGAACTATAATTTCTATAAAAATAATTATTGTTCATTTCCGTTTTTTGTTTTATGCCTCGAAGATAAATAAAATGAATTTTTATTTTTATTTCTATTTATGATTTAGATCGAACCATTTTACAAGATTTATTTTGGAAAATTCTGTTTGAACGAATGGTCTTTCCTATCATACACATATATGTATACCATTGCGTGTTCATATTTTGTGTTATTCTTAGATGACGATTAAACCAATATGTATAATGTATATGCATATGTGCTTGCATTGGTTCGTAGACTAGCAAAATGATTAACTCTACCTATTCGTTTCTTCTTTGATAAATTAGACGATGCAAGAAAACAAGTGTCGTTGGAATATGAAGAATAAGTGACGAACAACTGAAGTCTAACTAATTTTTTTATGCTATTTGCACTAATAGCTTTTTTCTTATTGTCGTCAATGAACTAATTTAGTAGAAGTTCACTTACTTTTGCCTAGTAATCGACGTGCCAAACCTGGCATTGTGAATAATCAATCGTTAGAAGATTGAAAGAGGAGGCGTACAGACGGTAGCTTGAGATCTAAAAGAAATATAAAAGACAAATGGAAGGTCAAAGAATACAATATGAAATGTAATTTTATTCTAATAATCAAAATGGAACAATGTTAAATGGCTATCAACTAAAAGAATGCTAAAAAAATCTTTTCTTTTTTTTGTTTCTTTTTATTCCATATTAAAAAAGCAAGATTTATTAAATTTAAGAGAAGAAAATTTCTTTTTTTCTCTCTGATATAATGGTAACAGATTGATGGCATGAAAAATTGGACTAACTATGACATAAAAAGAAACTAGAAGTCTATGCTAATAAGAGAATGGGCAATGCAATATAAAGAGAGAAAGAAGAATCTGTAACAAGACAATTCTTATTCTCTCTTTCGTTCTCGTTTTCTCTTCTTATTCTATTCACTACAATTTATAGGACGAGTGTAGTAGAAAGAGAATACTGTCATTTTTTTTTCACAATCATGTTCTAATTGTACTACTCGTATTCTTTTGCACTGGCAAACAACTAGACGAGAATAGAGAAAGAGATGATGCTGAATAAATGCTATCAACGTTCAATTTCTTTTTCTCTTTCATAAACATTACTGTCTGTCCTGTTCATCGTCCCTGAATAGATAACGAGAACGCGATGACCATCATCAACATTACTGTCGATGTCAGAGTATAATAGTTCTTCTCTTGTCAGAAGCGACATACATCTGTTCAAGAGAAAGTATATATTAAAAATACATAGTTGATGTCTGCACGAGACACAATTGATTTTACAGATGCGTATCATCCATTTTTTTTTTGCTTCTCTTCATTCACAGGGTTTCCGACATCATCAATACAAATAGATAACTCTAGTGGTCAGAAGGAAATAAAAAGAAAAATCTACTGTAGCAAGGAAATAAATTCTTTTTTTTTCTTTATTCTGTTCGACTGGTGACCCCGCCTGATAGAAAGAAAACACATGACTATCGTGTCATTTGGCCAAGGCGGTAAGCTTATTGATCAAGACAAATGATGAAAATAGGGATGAATCTTTCTCTTTAATGAACGTCATCATAGTCTGAAAAAGAGCAATTTAAGCAATAGTGAATATGTGCGCCTCTGTTTTTTGTCTTCTTCTATATATTCATATAAGATGATCTTAAGAATAAATAAATCTATAGACATACTGAAGAAAAAGCGAACATCATTCGATAGTAGTCATAAGCACTAGTTGAAATTCGATTTCTAATCGGATTAATATATATATATACATAAAGATGAGCGATATTCAATAAATCATTTGGATATATGTTGACAGAAACAATTGATAATGTTGCTTGATATATAATTCGATTCTTTAGTGATTATATTCACAAAAGAATGAATAAGATTACTATTCTCTTCTTTCTTCTCGATATATTTTTAAAAATCCTTTAATTAATTCTTGTAATATGAGTCCATTAAGAAGTAGACCAAAAAATGTCAACATATAACTACAAAATCTTCCTATAATTGTTAATGTAAAATGCGGATCAGTATGTCCAAATCCAATTGTAAAACTAAAATATTTTATTCTCTATTTACAATATTTTTTTATGAATTAATTAAACCTAAGTGAAGTTGCCCACCAAAATGCATCGAAATGAGTTTTCATCGTTAATTTATTATTTTGATCTTCTTGTTGTCGTCGTTCAAATGCAAATGCCATTTCACTAAATGATCCTATTATAATTATATTAATAAAAACTAATATACAAATAATTTCTAATCTAAAAAGCAAAGAATCAATAACTATTTTATTTTACTCAAAAGAAAAGATCATTCTATTTATACCGTTGAATAAATGTTTGAATAATTAGTCTTAATATACGTAAATGTGCAATGATGATAAATAAACGAAATGTTTTCAATAACATAATTAAACAATTTATAAAATAATAATTTGTTATTATCATTAAATTTTGACTAATAATTATAAATATACTTAATATCGTAGAAAATAAATCTAATAGAAAACATTTATTTCGAAAAAAATCCTTTTTATAAACGATTCGATAAAGTATAGTACTTGTTAATAAAATTATATTAAATAATTCAATAAAATAAGTTAATGACCATGATGAATTTACAAAATGATTATTAGATATTTCCATACTTATTGTTATCATAAATAAAATACTACAAATAAATGGTATTATGAAAATAAAATAATCTTTGTTTGTGTTTTTTAAAGTTTTTTTTCTTCGAAAATATTGATATGTTGAAATTTTATTTATTTCATGATATATATTTGAATTATTTAATTTAAAAAATTGGCATTCATTTTCTAATAATTCAATAGGAATATTATGTGGACAAAAAATTTTTTTTTCTAGTGTATAATATGTTAATATATAAGAAAATAATAATGGATTTCGTTCAAAATAATAATCTTTTATATCATGACGATAATATTTTGAAAGTAATAATTCATTACCAAGTAATGTTTGAGGATAATTAATTACTAGTGTATATGGTATATGAAAACGTTTGCCTAACAGATTTATTATAAGAATCTTTTCCATTTTTTTTGCTTTGTTCGGAAACTGTTCGGCGCGAAGTTTATTTATTTTTTCTTATTTATTATCCATTCAAAATAAGTACTC